AAGACTAGATCTCCAAGATCATCTTTTTCTTTACACAGCTGATTGGACTGAATTCAGGATCATCGTGTATACTTCCTGCTCTGGTCCCAGAATCAGCCATTTCCTCAAGGAGTACTGGTTACTTTTTATTGGAGAATAGTATTAGAAACCGAGATCTTGGTGCTATGTGTGCTCATTGCTACTGAGGTATCATTTGCTTCTAGACTCTTTTGGCTGACAGAGCAAGAGAAAATATATATATATATTTTCTCACATATATATATGAATATATATATATGCACAGACCTGCATATACATACATATCTATAAGCATTTACACATGTAACCATCTATATCTATATTAAGCTAAATATGAGTTCATACTGATATCTCCAACTAACTCTAAGCCGTATACCATTTCAGATTCCTTTTGCTAATCTGTAACCGTCCACTCCAACCTAGTTCCCACCATCTGACCTCCGTTGACTTCATTTGGCTAATTGCTTAATTCTTGTATACATGTATACTGGTATCAAAATTGTTAACCTGTCCGCCCCCCCTGACCCCCGCAACTTTACTAGCTAGATTGCAGTGCTTGTGTGCACTTCCTTTTGCCTTTAGTCTTACACACTTCACTCATTTTCCAGAGTTACTGAGGTCAGCACCCCCCATCCCTTCAGTGAAGTTGTCTTATACATTTGTAATACAATTAGATTGTTTCGTCACATTATGCATTCCATCCTGAGATTCTCCAACTCCTAAATGAGTGTTTAAATTTGCGTATCTTCAGGTTCATATTTTGCGTGGTAAAGTTCTACGGGCTCTGACAAATGCATAGTGTCGCGTATCCACCGTTAATAGCATCGTACAAAATATTAATAGTTTGATCACCCTAAAAAAATACCCTGTGTTTCACCTATCCAACCTTTCTCTCCTCCCCCTGAACTCCTGATAACCACTGATCTTTTCACTGCTGCTGTAGGTTTGCCTTTTCCAGAATGCCATAGAACTGGAGTGAGACACTATGCAACCTTTAGACTGGCTTCTTTCACTTAGCAAAATGCATTTAAGATCCCTCCATGTCTCTTTGTGATTTGACACCTCATTTCTATTACTTTACATTTTTTATTGTTGAATAACATTTCATTGTGTGCATGTACCACAATTTGCTTATCCACTTCACTTATTGGAGGACATCTTGGTTGCTTTCAGGTTTTGGTGACTATGAATAAAATTGCTGTCAACACTTGGGTACAGGTTTTTATGTGGAGAAAGTTTTCAGATTGGTTGGATAAATATCTAGATGATGATTGCTGGACCCTATGATAAGACTATGTTTTACTTTGTAAGAAACTTGCAGCTGGTCTTTTAATCTTCTTAACAGTATCTTTTGAAGTGTAAACATTTATTTTAGTGAACTCCAATTTATCACTTTTTTTGTTCTTTTATTGCTGTTGTTTTTGGTGTCATATGTAGGAATGCTTTACCTAACCTGAGGTCATAAAAATTTTCTCCTGTGGTTTATTCTAGAAGTTTTATAGTTTTAGCTCTTACAACTAGGTCTATGATTTATTTTGAGTTAGGAGTTAATTTTTTGTGTATGGTATGAGAGTAAATTATTTTTTAAAAAAATTTGCATATGGATATCCAATTGTTCCCTGTCAATTTGTTAAAAAGACTATCCAGTCCCCACTTTTATTGGCACCTTTTTAGAAAATTTATTGAGCATTAATGCATGAGTTTCTTATGAGTATAATTTTGTATGCTACGTTGAACCCTCTAGTTCTTTAGATAGCATTTATTGGATAGGTACGTTTTTCCATATCTTCTGTCTCTCCTTCTTCCCTGCTCCCTGCTCCCACAATTAGAAAGTTAGTTTAGGCAACTGTGTTGCAATAGTTCAGGAGAGACATGGTGGAGGCTTGGACCAGAGGGTAGTAGTGAACGTGGTGCAAGGTAGTTGGAGTCTAGATATATTTTGGAGATAGGGCTGATGATATTTGCTGACAGATGCAATGTGTGGTGTGAGGGAAAAGATAGGTTAAGGATGACTCCAAAGGTTTGAACTCAAGCAACTGGAAGGATGACATTACTACTAACATGAGAAGACTGCAGGGGGAGCCAGGTAGGGCTGTGGGATCGGGAACTCATTTATAAATATGTTAAGTCTGGGGTGACTATTAGACTTCATATGGAGCTGGCAAGTATGTAGTTAGATGTGTGAGTCTGGATTCAGAGTAGACACTGGTGCTACAGATATGAGTTTAGGAGTATGGGCTTTTAGATGGTTTTAACATTCACGAGACCATATGAGATCCCCTAGCAAGTGTAGATAGAAAAGAAAACAGGCTCAAGGACGGAGTCCTGGGACACTCAAATGTTAAGAAGTTCAGGAGGTGAGGCAGAGCCAGTGAAGGAGGCTGAGAGGCAGCAGCTGGCGAGGGGGCAGGATAATGCACGGAACGGGACCAGGAGAGTGTGACGTCCCGGAAGCCAAGCGAAGAAAGTATTTCTAGAGCCCAAAGTGATAAAATCTGCCCTAATGCTAACCTAAGCCATCAGGAAAGATGCAGACTCACGGTGGATAGAGGACGAGCAGTGGTGGTGGGTGACTGGCCAAGAGTACTTTGGCGAAATGGTCGTGGATAGATGGGGGTGGGAGGAAGCCTCGCTGGAGCACGTTGAAGAGCATGAGAGGATTTTGTGGGATGACCTGCTTGTCTTGGTTTATCTGGGAACCTTCTGGGTTTTAGCACAAAAGTTTGCATCCTGTGACCTCTGGTTTTAAAACTAAAAAACCCCCATGTCCTGGAATTCATGCTCAGGCAAACTAGGATGGCTAGTCACCCTAGTTTGGAGCTAGGGGAATAAATATTAATAACTTTTAGAAGCAATGGTGTGTTGGTTGGAGGGGAAATGATATCTATTTATCATCTATTAAATATCCTCTAGCCATCTGTCATCTATCTACCAGGTCTCTATCTACTCTCCCATCCATCCACCTATCCATTATCTAATTATCTGCCATCTATATATCATCTATCTACTCACTGCCTACCATCTATTTTAATATGGAAGCAATAAGAGCGTGTTTGCCTCCTGATAGAAAAGCCCAGTAGATAGAGTAGGTTTGTGGGTGAGGAGTCAGAGGGGAGGGTAGCTGGTGCAATGTCTTTTATAAATTGCATTTTATCTGAGTGAGAGAAAATTATGATGCCGGCATCTGTGGAGGGGTGGCTTTAGCTAGGAGAATCCATCGTAGCAGGAGGAACGGCAGAGGCATGGGCAGAGTTGCAGGTGGGCGGGCAGAAGGTCGCCTATATTTTGCCAGAGAAAAAGGAAGTGAGGTTGCTGGCTCAGAGTGTTTTGGGGCTGGGGCTGTGGGAGCCTGAGAGGACTCAAGAAGGAGAGAGTGCTTGGTTTGCAGGATCTAAGCTCTCTTGAGGTTAATGATCATGAATTTCAAATAAGGCCGGTCTGTGTGTTGTTTTTCTAGCTACACTCAGCAGCTCAAGTGTGGGCACGGAATAGGGAGAGAGTCAGGGGGCTTTGTCAGGCAACTCTGATAAAGCAAGAGCAAAGGATTAATCATGGGATTTAAGCTGGGCAGGGAGGAGGTGAGGACTCACGGAAGAGAGGGAAGTGAAAACCGGCGGAATCAATGGATCGTGCCTCCCAGTGGGGCTGAAGGGCTGCTGGAGTTGGCACCAAAAGCAATGAGCTGGAAAGGAAGGAGGTGGTGGTCGGAGTGGAATACTCGAGATCTTGGGGTGGGGGGAGCTGTTGTGACAACAGTGTCTGTGGAATGACCGTGAGAGCGATCAAAGTTCCCGCAGGTTCCTATCAACCTGCAGCTGTCGGTTGCTGCCAGCTGACGTGAGGCTACACCTTTCTCCCTCTCTGCCCCGGGTCTGGCTGTGTCAGTACCGGGCCGTTTGCCCATTCAGCCTCAAACCAGCTGACACTCCTCCCAGGAAGGACATGGATCCTATCTGCAGAGTGAAAGGAAGTATCACACTGGCTAACGTTTGCCCACGTGCCCAGGAGTGGCCGCAGCAAGGCAGCATGGCGTGTGCACCTGTGCGACGAGTTCTTTGAGGATAGATAGGGCCGCGTTCTCCATGCCACATGCTTTCAGCCTTAGGGCTGTGGTTTGCACACAGTTGGCACCCATCAGATGCTTTCTGAAATGACATATAGGATTGAATGTTGGATGGAGACCCTGGTGGAGAACTCAGTCCCTGCTCTGAGATCTCCTCTCCTGGAGGAGTTGTCCCTGGAGATAGTTTTACGGACCGGGTCGGAGGGCGTTTGTTCTTGCTCTCTGAAGCCTATGCAGGCACACGGTGGAGGTGTGCAAAGGGCCTTCAAGCACCACGTATATTAAGTGGCCTCTCCTGTCAAAGGGACTCAGAGACGTTCCTTGCACGCTTTCCTTTTAAGCCACTTGCGGAAGAGACCTGAGACCCTGCTGGCACCCTGTGAACCACTGGATCCATCCGATGTTGGTGAGTGGCAGTGATAGGATGGTGCTGCCCCCTCCTTGTCACCTATGCACACTCCCAGGCCACTCTCTGCAGAGTCCCCAAGTCCTACTGGGAGAACAGCCTGCCCAGCACCAGCAGAACACCCCTACAGAGTTTTGGTTTGCTGTTTTATTGGGGAGTACAGCCCCGCCACAGCGCGGGTGGTGGGATCTGAGAAAACAGGACGCAAGGGGAAGAGCAGAGCCAGCAGGGACAGGCAGCTGGCGAAGAGCCAGAAGAGGGACTCAGCTCTGGGATCCTGGCGTTGGACACTGAGACTGGCCTGCGATTGCACGGCATCCTGGACTTGCGTTTGCTAATCTGTGCAATGGGGATAATCACTCGGGGAGGCTTTGTGCAGAGTCCAGAAGAGGAGCCACAGCCGTGTGCCAGGGCCGGCGCGCTGCGGTCCTGTGTTCCTTTCTCTTTGGGAGCCCGAGTGGCACACAGCACTGGAGGACCACGCAGGAGGCGGCAGGCTGTCTCCCCACCGGACTACCACTCTGTTTTGGGGTTCAGCACTTTGCCTAGGAAGACAAGGCTGCGGCTGCTTTCCTCAAAAACCAGCAGCAGGAAGGGCCTGTTGAAGTGGAGCCGGGGCAGGAAGTGCTTGTCGAGGGCCTGGAGGTCCCTGTCATCTGCCTCTTCTGCTCCTTCCTCATCCATGGTCAGTTCTGCCCTGTGCTCCGCCTTTGAGGGACCAAGGTTGACAGTGTTGCTCTGAGCAGAGGTGGCCCCTTCGTCAGGAGATGCCACACTGACCCTCGGTGTGAGCTTGGCCCAGGAGGCCCAGAATCGAGTCCTGCTTCTGTCTCGACTACAGCATGACCTGGTGTGTCCTGTCCCCTGGTGGACACTCAGTTTCCTTGTCTGCAGGGACTCGGGGGCGGGGGGTGCGCTGCCTCCCCCCACTGGGCTCCACACCCGAGGCCGGGTCCTTCCTCCTGCTCTGCACCTGGCCCAGGGCCCGCCTGGGCTTCGAGGAGGGGGCCTGCTCTCCTGTTCCACCTGACCCCTCCTCTATGACAGGGCACCCCCTGCTCCCCAAGACTCCTGTGCAGCCCTGTGGCATGCACCGTGTCCCCTGGCCTTCCAGAAAGAAGGTTTCCTTTTTATTCACTCTCCACTCCCAAGCCAGCCATTGAGTCCTAGGGTTCCCATCTCCAAATGCACTGCCTTTCCAACCCACCTTCCTGTCCTGTGGAGGCCTGCCTCAATTGTCACTTGCTAGCCGCCCCTACTCCCTTAGGCTGTGCAGCAATCCCCTTCCTAAAGCTCAGACGCATCCCCAAAGCCTGAAGGTGGCCTCCTGGCTCGGCTCAGGCGTAACCTCGGCTGTTGGGCACCTCAGCCTAGCAGCCCAGGCCCTCCTGTGACCAGCCCCAGCTGACAGTTGGGCTGCCCCCTGCCTGCCCCAATCCCCGCCGCTCTGCCCCTCCCCTCCAACTTGCCTTTTCCCAACACTAGGCAATATTTCCGGACACTTCCTCTTTCTACTGCCTGGAGAGTCCTGCGGTGGGGTTAAAACTTCAGGACTCCATCTCTAGGGGATCTTACTCTGCACCCCATCCTTGTGTAACTCAACCCCCACCCCGGCCCCCACATCCTTGTGTAACCTTCTCCTGCATCTGGACCCATCCTTGTGTAACTACCGCCCCCCTCCCATCATTCTTATGTAAGCGTGAGTGTACTCACTTCCCCAGGAGAGGTAGCATTGCAGAAACATTCAGTTTCCAGGCTCCCCACTGCGGCTTTCCTACCCCCAGAGCAAGGCTGCTTGCCTGAGTAGTGGGCTTGGGACACCCGGCCCCTTCCCCGCCCCCCAGGCCCAGCTCTCTCCTGGGAGCAGCTGTCCTCAGGACGCCAGTGGGTGTTGTAATTCTCCACTTCCACCTGTGACGCCCCCAAGCCTGGGAATTGCATCGCAGGGGCCCCTGGTGCATCAGGAATAAATAAGCAAGTGAGAAAACTCATGGACTATTATAAATGACTCAACACTGTGGATTTATAACTTACGTTGGAGACCCTCATGGGCATGGTTTGCAGAGAAATTCCCCAGAGGTGTGCGTGGTAGCTGAATATATCCGACATGCCTATTGTGGGCAAGAGGTTGTCCAGCTGAACATTCCCAGGTAGGGAGAATTTTGGAAAATACAGCTTCCTCTTTCTACTCAGGGGAATGAGAGGAGAAAACAGAGCTGAAATAATGGCATCTAATAAACGCCCAGCCAGCAATCTCACTGCAGAGTAATGGAATAAAATTAATGTGAGCTGTGTTTACCAAGCGGCTGCAATAAATGGGTCTCTGCCAGGTACTGTACAAGGTAATTTCATTTCATCCTCATAGTAATCCTGGGGGCTGAGTGCTAAAAATATCCACTTTATAAATGAGAAAATGGGGGCTTAAAGAGAGTAAGAGATTTGCCCAAAGTCAAAACTGAAGCTATTTCTCAAGCTGTGTTGCTGCTTCTCAGGCTGGCTGTGGCACGCTCTGGGTCCAGGGGAATAAGAGAGTCTGTTTGTCCGTCTGTCTTTGACCCAACATGTAGCCTTATCCCGTTTCCCTGCCTCCATAGGCCCAGCCTCAAGGCCTTGAAGGTCCAGGCCAGGACTGAGTGCCACTTTCACCTGTGTTTACCTTTTCACGTCTGTACCTGTGAGGGGACATGATCTCACTTACACGTGGAGTCTATAAAGGTGACCGCACAGATGCAGAGGGTAGAGAGGTGGTTGCCAGGGACTGGGTGGGGTGGGGAACGGGGAGACATTGGTCAAAGGGTGCAGAGTTAGTGACGCAGGATCCCTCGTACATTCCGGACTTCTACCGTGCAGCACGGTGCCTGTATTAACACTGTATTGCATGCTTGACACATGCTAAGAGAGCAGATCCTAAGCGTTCTCACTGTACACAGGAAACTGCGGTGCCCGTGTGAGGTGATGGATACGTGACTTACCTTGACTGTGGTAATCATGTCCAACGTGTATGTACATTGCAACGTCACGTTGCACGCCTTAAACATACAATTTCTCCTTGTCTATTATACCTCATAAGAGCTTGAAAAAATCAAAAGTAAAAGTAAAAATTAAAAAACAGAAACAACAAAAATTAGTCGTGGGGATGGTCCCTGCACAGCAGCCTGAGCGTGACTCGTGTCCACAGCCTTGGGGGTCACTGAGCGTTGAGAATGTTTCTTCCCAGCTTCGGTCTCCCAACTGTCTCAGCCGGGAGCCTTCTTCCTTCCCTCCTAACAGCTCCAGGCGCCTTCTTGGGTAAACTGAGCAACGGGAGGAGCGCTGGAGGTCCTCAGCCCCCACCAGGGGAAGCGCACTTGGGGAAATGAGAACGTTGTGCCAGGGCGAGCTCACCTCTCAGCTCGACGTGGCTCCCTGTGTGTCCAGGGACACACAGTGTCAGCCAGGCCTTCGGGGGCGATGGGGACTCCGGGCTGAGCAAAGCGCATGCGTGGATTCATGGTTTAGAAGAGGAGTGGCTTGGCCCCCCAGGGAATATCTGGTGACAACTGGGGATGGTTTTTGTCATCACAACTGAGGGGTGGGGTGCCACTGGTATCCAGTAGGCAGGGCATCCAGGGCCACCACTGAACATCCTCTCAAGCACGGGACGGCCCGTACCATGCTGGGGTGGGGGTGGGGGCAGGAATCCTGGTCTAGAAGACAGGGCCAAGTCCGAGGCCAGAATGATGGGTGCAGAGAAGGTACCTGGGACACAGCACGTAGGTCACCACTTGGTGATTTGTAATGACAGAGGATCTGAAAGACCTGTCGGGAAGCCCTGGGATTTGCCTGGGGTTTAGGTCAGGGCTTCCCCGTCCTTAATGTGCACATGAATCACCTGAGATCTTGTGAAAATGAAGATTCTGATTCAGCAGGTGTGGGGTGGGGCCTGAGACGCTCTATTTCTGACAAACTCCGGGATGAAGCCAGTGATGCTGGCTGCGGACCACACTCTGAGTAGCAAAGCCCTCACATACTTGAGTAAAGCAAGTAAGTTGAGCACAGAGTGTGGCAGAGAGGAGAGGCGTGCGGGTGGCTGGGAAGTGACTTTCGTGTAAAGTCTCCCTGAGAAGTGACCAGTAAAGAGGCCAGGGCCTGGCTCCCCCGAGTTAGTTACCGCTCGCACTGAATGCATCAGTTTATGAACTGGGAAGACACACCCTTGGTAATTAGCCAACTGTGGGGTGCATGGAGTTGTAGTTTGTTTATAGGTCTTACGTTAAAATGTGCGCCATGTTCAAATGCCGTTTGGCAAATGCTGAGTAAAGCTGCGTTCAACGCTGTTCAGTCCTTTACAACTTCTCAGCGCTATGAAATGCTCAGGTGAATTGCAATCTCTCAGAGGAGGCTGTGAGGTGCTGATACGGTGGCGATGATGATGGTTTTGTCCTGCCGCTCTGCTGCTCCCGTCTCTGGGCACAGTGAATGGCTGAACCCTGTTTGATACTTAGAGCGTGGTCTAGCCCCACCCTCATGCCACAGAGGTGGCTGGGGAGAGGGTCTCACTGCACGCTGGGGCGGGGACAGCTGGGGTTACCTTAGCGGGAAGGGCTGAGTCCATGTGTCCAAATCCTCCTTCATCAGAGCCTCTTCCGTCTCCCGGATCCTGCCCACGTCGGGAAGGATGAAGACGGCGGTGGCGTTGCAGCTGTAGGGCAGGCGGAGCGCTTGGCTGTGCAGGTCGGGGAAGCGCTGGAGCTGGAACCGGCCCAGACGCTGCATCATGGGCACCGGGATCATGAGCCTCTCGCTCACCGAGAAGGGCCTGGTCACAGTGAGACTTGGGTCGAAGCTGTGTCTCCAATTCCCTGATAAGAGACAGAGCAAAAGCGCTGGAGGAAGCCACCAGTCTTTGGGGCACAGGGCGCCAGAGGTCGGGCATTGCATTCATTTGGGAGCTGTCTAGGGAGGGGCTGCTGAAAGGAAGGCCCTACTGTCTAGTGAAATAACAGAAAATTTACATAACGCAGAGTAAGGGCTAAGATCATTCATGAGCTCGCACCCGCCCTCGGCCTCACTCTCTCCTGCTAGCTGGCTGGCATCCTGTGGGGTTCTGGTTTTCACAATGTCTGAAAAGAGCTGAATAGGCGGAAAGGAAATGTAAATCTTTCTCTTTTAAAACTGCTTTTGAGAATCTGCTTTGTACAGCCTCAGGCCTCGGCCCTATCTCATCCCCAGGGATAATTCTGCCTCTAAGGAAAGGGGAGGAGACACCAGCCAACTCTCTGACATCCCCCCTCCTGTTACCAGCCGCTGCTAAGCAGAAAGAAAGGCGCGATGCAGCAGTTTCTGAGCTGTGCCCGGCTAACTTACAACCTCCCCTTCTAAACAGCCCGAGCGCCTGGTTCTCTCCGCCAACATTCTCTACCTCCCTCGCTTCCGTGTTGGCCCTTTTACTGCCCAGGAAAAAGTAAATACACTTCTTCTCTCTATCCTAAATTCTGTCTGGGGAGATCTTTCCCCAAACCCGAGTGCCCTAGCTCACGCCCAACAGCTGCTGTCTGCCAGGCACCGTTCTCGAGTGAGCAATCCCGGCCGTGTGGAGCTCATGCACCTGGGGAAGAGCAGGAACAAGATAGACTAGGAAAAAAAGGTGTTAGATGGTGATATGTGCTAAGGAGAGACATAAAGCAAGGGGAGATAAATCTCAGGGATGGAGAGTTATAATTTATATAAGTCTCCTTGAGGAGGTGATATGGAGTAAATACGTAATGGTGAGGGAATGAGCCATGGTGTACCTGGGGGAAGAAAATACCAGAGACAGGGAACAGCATGTGCAAAGGCCCGGTGGCAGGAATGGGTCTGGCATGTTTAAAGGATATCAGGAGGCCTGTGTAGCTGGAGAAGAAACAGTGAGGCAGAGGGGAGTGGGAGGTGAGGCCAGAAACGGAATGGGGCCCTCATATGTACACTGGGGCGATGATGTCTACCTTTTTGCTATCTGTGAACGTCAGTGAGATGTTCCAAGTAAAGGTCTGAGCAAGAGGTCTGGCACATAGCAGTTGCTCAGTTATTGTTAGCTAATAATGTTCTTTTCTCGGTGCTTATTGCAGCTCCATAAAGTATAGGATCCCTGGACCCCACTTCTCTGTGGAATCTGTTGGAGAGGTCTGAATGCAGTCTGCAAGCGAACCTCCCCCTCTGGCGCCTGCTTCTGCCAGTCCAGCGCTGAGGGGCCGACCGGGACTGAGCCCTGAGGGCCGAGGGCAGGGGTTGCCGAGGAGACCGAGGACCTGAGTTTCTGAGCTCCGCAATCTCGACAGCACCCAGATCCAGGGATGGCAGGTGTCGCACGACAGGAAACTCTCCTGTACAAAGCAGCCCACAGCCTTGTGGGGATAGACAAGTGACCGGAAAATGACAATGCAGCGCGTCCTCAGATTAAAGAAAGGAAGTGTTTCTACCAGAACACAGAGGAGAGGCAAGACTGTGCCCTCTGCTAGCTTGCAACTCTCCTGCGCACTGAGGACTCCCAAGTCTCTGCCCAGCCCATAGCTCTGGGAGCTCCAGGCCCACATCCTCGCTCGCCATCCGGTCACTTCCACCCGAGTGCCTACGGTGCATCTCGAGCTCGGCATGTTCAAAACGAAAAGCAATTTTTTTTCTCACCACCACTGACTCTGGGTAGTGTTGGGCAGAGTGCCAGATAAAATATAGGATGCCCAGTTACATTTAAATTTCAGAAAAACAATAATTTTTAAAAAAATACAAACATGTCCCATTTTGTAGTTGTTTTTTGTTTTCTTCCTAAATCTGGCAGCCTCAGTGGTGAAGACTGTCAAGGAAGTCTTCCTGGAGGTGACGGCCTCGGAGTGGAGCCCCGAAGGATGAGAACCTACTGGCCAGGGGATGTGGAGGGGATGCGGGCAGTGAAGGGCACTCCAAGCAAAGGGGTGGCCCGTGGGGGTCTATCGGTGAGCGACGGCGCAGTTCCGGGCAGGGGTGTTGTTCCATGTGGGTAGCCTGTGGTTCTTCTGGGGAGAGGAAGAGTAGAGAGAGGACAAGGGATGTGGGTGAAGAAAGCAGCAGGGGACAGGGCACTTAAAGGCCTGGTCCTTCCTAAAGATGTGGAGCACTAGCCCAAGGGCTACAATTGGGCTGGGGCCACTGAAAGGTTTTAAGCAGTGGAATTACAAGGTCAAATGTAGCTTCTAGAAAGATCTTCCTGACTGCAGTGTAGAAACTGGATTAGGGGTGCAGGTGGGGAGGCACACTGCAGACAGCGAGACCCGTTAGGAGGCAATTGGAATAATTTTGGTAAGAGATAACGTGACTTGAACAAGAATAGTGGCAGTGGAGAGGGACAAGGGTGCACAGATTGAAGAAAGATGAGGGAGGCTCCTGCCACAGGGTGTGGTTCCTGTCTGGACGTGTGGTGTGGCTGATCTGCCCAGCTAGTGGTGAGTGGCAACCAAGGTTCTGGGTTGGGCAGGGGTTGGGGACGTTTACTGAGACTTAGAGGAAAGGAGAAGGAAGAGGAGATGTGGGGGGGCTGTGGGAGATGGAGGAAGAAATGGCTTTTGTTTTGAACACATTGAGCTTGAGGTGCTTCCTTCAGAAGGAGGTGACAGGAGGTCCTGAGAGGTGCCAGCTGGTCACAGGGAGTTGGGAGTCTCCCGCCTACGGGTGGGTTAGAGGCCAAGGGCACCCAAGGAAGAACTCTATGGAATGTCAACAATTAATGGGCTCTGGCTCTACAAGAAAGGGAGGTGCAGTAAGGAGGGGGAGGGAGAGGAAAAGCCATGCTGAGCTGAAAGAGAGTGTCCAGAGAGAGTCAACAAAACAGCTTCAAATGTGGCCAAGAAGGGAGGGTGTGGAAGGAGGAGGTTCTCAGCTCGACAGAGTTCTTTTGGCGAGGGAGGCTGCTTGATGAAGCAATTGGAGACAAGACGAGTAATGGGTCCAATGCAAGACTTGTGCTCAGCAGAAAGGCAGGCAAGTGGGGACAGCTCACGTGGGCGGGCATGGTCTTAGCAGTCGCACAGGGCCCCATAGGGAGTTTAATGCTCAGCCTTCACATCTTGAAATGTGACTCTGAACAAGGGGCTCCGCAACTTACGTAGCTGGTCCTGTGCGGGGGCACCTCTTCCTAAAACGTTGGTTGTGACGGAGAGGAGAGAGCTGGGGCTTAGAGCTAGAAAGAGAACTGGAGTTTCGAGGTTCAGGTGATGGTGCCTAAAGACAGAGGCGGCCAGTGTGGGGGAGAGAGCAGCTGATCAGTAGAACAAAGTCTTAGAGAGGCAGGATGGAATGTGATCCCAGGTAGGGGGAGAGGAAATACTCATCTTGGACAAAAGATGGATTAACTGTGAAGAGGTATAACTAATCAGTAGAGGCTTACATACCTTTAAAGAAAATATAATTGGCCAGAACTAAGACAGTGTCTTTATCCAACTCCTGGAAAAGATTGCCAATTTTGCCATGAGTTTTCTTCCTCACGAAGAAGTCCATCTCATCCTTGGCTAACTCTTCGTTCTCGAAGGAGGTGAGGAAGACCTCCGTGCGGTACAGACTCTGGGCAGTTTCAGCAAACTTCGGCACCACTGTTACCTTCAGGTCCACAAACAGCAGGCTGTCCATGTCTATGTGGCATTCCTCACGGGACGGCAGGAAGGAGCGGAGTTGCTGGCTGTAGTACACAGGGGCCTGCTTCTCTGGGACCGAGGCACGGCTAAGCCCCAGGCCCTTCAGAATCTGAGTGCGCACCTCCGGCCTGGCCTGGAGGGCCAACAGAGTGAGCGGGATGGAGAAACTCAGTGGGGAGAAGAGAACGTTCCTGCCTGGGTTCTGGGCCACCAGCTGTCGGTACAGGCTGAAGGCAAAGTGGGAATTGTTCAGGAAAGCCAAGGAGGCCGACGAGGTCCTTCGGATTGGCTGATTTTTGTGGTCAGAAATCCATTGGCCACAGGCATGAGGAGCCAGTGCAGCCACTAGCAGCCAGAGGGACAGAATAGGGTGCGCCATCCTAGACAAAGAGACACAGAGTGCCATCACCCAGCTCCGCCACGCAGCCAGCAAGGCGCGTTGTCCCAGGGTGCTTTCTGGGCCTCCCCCCAGGGAGTGCCCACGGGGTCAGCGTTAGTGGGCTCACCCCAGCCTGAATTCACAGGGATCAGTCCTCCGTCTGGCAAAGCACCGGCTCTGGAGTCAGACAGACCCGTATCTGAATCCTGACTCAGGCTGGCTCCCACACAATCTCCCTCCCCAGTAGTAGTCCCAGGTGTAAATGGAGACAAAAATACCTGTTGTGCTGAACTGTGTGAGGCTTGATGTGGGAACAGGGTGGGCGAAACACAGCAGGTGTTCAGTCAAACCACAGATGTCAGGAACAAAAACCTTACTTGCACCCTGTGGGCTTCTTTAGATTTTAGTTATAGTAATGTCATGTTCTATTTATAATACGTTCTAAATATAGTATGTACAATATAAAGTAAAAATCTAGCCTCTACCTGTTCACCCCAATCCTGCTCCTCAAGAAATAATTGGTGTTCAGAATTTGTTGTATGTTGGTCTAGAATTTTCTTTGTTTGAATCTGTATATGATTGAATATGTAAATTTACACAGAGAACACACCTTTGTATATGGATAATTATACATGTGCACTTCAAAGTGTAATGGCATTATATTTTACAAATTGATCCACCCCTAACTTTTCTGTTTAACACTATATGGTAGAAACATTTCATTAACTTGTCAGTAAGTACACACCACTTCATTATTTTAATGGTTATATAAGTATATATGTATTGCTCAGTAAGTATTTACTATTATATAAATTATTATATCATCTCTATTGATCTTTCCTGTTTCAAAAATGTGGTCGTGAACATCTTTGTACATATATCAAAATGTCAGTCATTCTATAGGGTCCATTTATCAAATTGTTATCCACATTTTAAATTTTCTTAGATATTGCCAGTCTGCCATCCAAAATCTCTGAATCAATTGTGCTCCTACAAACTCTGGGCAAAAGTATACTCCTTCACTCCCTGTCTGATGTTCAATATTGACATCATCTTATTTGTGTCTGGTAGATGGAAATAGCCTTTCATTGTTGTTTTCATTGTTACTTAGTTGTCTTTTTTCCCTTGATTTGTAGGAAATTTTAACATAGATAATGAACATTAAAACTTTGTTCATCATAGATGTTGCAAATACTCTCCTCAGTGTGTCATTTGTCTTTTAACTTTTGTCATCTTGTCTTTTATCATAAAGCAGCATTAACATCTTATGTACTCTGATCTGCAAACAGTCATGCTGACAAAAACCTTCCCCTCTCAAGATTATAAAAAAACCACAAGCACCCACTTTTTCTAGTATTTTTGTATTTTGTCATTTTATGTTTAGCTCTTTATTTGGAACTCAAATAGAAATTCCAAATAGAAATTGGAATTTGGAAATAGAAATTTGGAATTTATGGCTTTTAAAATACATTTTGCAAGGCAATAATGTTTTGCTATTTTTCAAAAAATCATCAGCTATTTCTGTGGATTTATTCTCCCAGATGAATTTTATAATCAATTTGCCAAATTGAAAAAATACAGATGGAATTAATTAGAATGATTAATTCGAGGACAAATGTCTCCTTAAAAGTGAATCTTTTAAACCAGGGCCTCTGTATAGCTCTCTAGTAATTCAGAGCTTTTAAAAATAGCTTTTTTTAAAAAAATATATAGGTCTTGCCCTTTCTCTGTTATACTTATATTCTATATCGTATAGTATATTTGTAGGTAATTTTCGGTTGCCATTGTAAATGAGATTTTTTTTGCTCATTCCATTTTCGAATTGGTAGGATCTAATTTTAGTAAGTTATCTAGTGATTGGTTGGTTACTTTAGCAGTCGTTCTTGCTAGTTCTAACAACTTCTCAGTTGAGTCTGAACGTTTTTTTTACGCAGATTGCCATGCCGCAATCTCCCGGCAGCAGACACCTGTGCGCCCACTCCTGTCCTGGGCTTCCTGGCACCTCCCGCATGCGCACGCACGGTGGCCTCCTACCGCGCAGGCGCCCCCTCTGGCCACTCTGATTGGTCCGGGGCTGTCAGCTGACCCAAGATGGCGGCACCTGCCTTGACAATTTGTGTTGGCGCCTGAGCGGCTTCCCAGGTTTGTGACTGACTTCTCTGTCTTGTGAGCAGGGGAACGGTGGTGTTTGTCATCATTTGGGTAGAAGAAACTGGTCTAGAGAGAGAGAGCTGCGGAAGGGTTGGGGCTCTGTGAGACATGGGGAGAGAGAGAACTCCTGGGTTTCCCAGGGCTGCAGTCCCCAGCCCCCGGGCCTGGTAGGAACCGGGCGCACAGCAGGAGGTGAGCGGGGCGCCAGTGAAGCTTCGTCTGTATTTACAGCCGCTCCCCATTGCTCGCATCACTGCCTGAGTTCCTCAAACAGGATCGGATCAGCGCGGCTCTGTTCTCAGAGGAGGGTGAGCCCTACTGTAAACTGCATGCGAGGGGTCTAGGTTGCCTGCTCCTTATGAGCATCTAACGCCTGATGATCTGAGGCAGTGATGCTAGCGCCTGGGAGTGAATGAAAATCATTAGCAGAGAGGTTAGATTGCACAGTAAATGTAATGTGCTTGAATCCTCCTGAAACGTCTCCCTGCCTCCATCTGTGGAAAAATTGTCATTTATGCAACTGGTCCCTGGGCCAAAAAGGTTGGGGCCTGCTGTCCCAGGGCATTCCAGGCCCTGCCCTGGGGCTCAGGGTGCCGTGCCATCTGCCAGGCCTGGCATGGTGGACACAGTCTACCACCGTCCTCTGCTGCAGTCATCAGTCTCCCCATCTCTGGAGCCCCTGTGTATAGTGTTTTGTGATTTGGTCAAATGCACACTTTCATTCAAAGCAAGCCATTAAGGAAAACCTGGGATGGGGGTGGGGTCACTGATTTCCCCATTTCTTAAAAATGGCCAGAATCTGAATTTACTTTCTGGCTCAGTGGGAAAATCCATTCAACCAGTAATACAAGTTATATTACAGTGAGTGCCTATGTGTTCAGGGCTAAGCTCTTTATGAGTCAAAATTAAATGAACTAGTCAAAATTAAATTAAATGTGTGATGGCACACAGTAAGTGCTCACCAAAAGTTGACTATTATTACCATTACTGTCAATGATGCCTGTTCTGCAGGCTGTTCTCTGTTTGCCAGCCCCTGCCCAGATCCTTTCTCTGCCCTGTTTTGTGCCCTGAGTGGCTGACCCCTTTGGACTGCACTGCTGGGCTTTCCTGCCTGTTGGCTTCCTCTTGGGTTTGGTAGTGGGAGTCCTGGGCAGGAGGAGAGAGAGGTCAGGGTGTTAATGCCCACTTCCTCTCTGCTTCTCCTCCACATCTCTGATAGGAGCTGCATCCCCCCAACCATGATCACTGCAGATCTCACCAGGCAGCCCCCTTCTCCCTGGCTTCAGCTCTCACTCTTTCCTCCCTTGGTTCCTTCAGCTCTGGGCAGGTAACAGCTCCCTGATTTTGCTAACATCTGGAGGCCTCGTCCTCATGATTTTCCTTTAATTCTTTTTTTTTTTTTTTTTTTTGAGACAGAGTCTCACTCTGTTGTCCAGTCTAGAGTGCCATGGTATCTGCCTAGCTCACAGCAACCTCAAACTCCTGGGGCTTAAGCGATCCTTCTGCCTCCGCCTCCTGAGTAGCTGGGACTACAGGCATGCACCACCATGCCAGGCTAATTTTATATATATATATATTTTTTTAGTTTTCCAGCTAATTTCTTTCTATTTTTTTTTTTTTAGTAGAGATGGGGTCTCACTCTTGCTCAGGCCGGTCTTGAACTCCTGAGCTCAAATGATCTGCCCACGTTGGCCTCCCAGAATGCTAGGATTATAGGCGTGATCCACCTCGCCTGGCCTACTTTTTCCCTTAATTCTTTCCACATCTTTCCATGTAGACTCTTCATTAAAATCTTGTCCTTTGAACCATTGAGGGACTCTGGGTAATACTCCATTTAATCTTCACGACCAACCCCTACAAAACACTAAGTCCCAGGGAGGGAACTCAAGGTCAACAACTGAGCCAGGATTGGAGCCCAGGTCTGCTGCTTCCAAACATGAGTGCTTTATTTTATCCTTCATTAGATCCCTATTTCGACATAGGTGACCCTCTGCAATAAGATCTACCTGCCTGCAAGCCCTACAGGTCCTGTGGTGTTGCTCTGCTTTCCCTTATTGCTGACACCCATCAGACAGCTGTTTCCTTGGGAGAAAACTAGGAGCCATGGGGACCGGGCATGCAGCTAGAGGGGAGCTAAGTTTTACTTACAGGCCATGTACTAGGAGTCTGATTCATCCGCAGCACCCTCAAGTCTGGTCCCTGTAGGCAGCTCTCCTGGGTTAAGGAGTTGCGAAGGTAGCAAACATCATCTCCTCAGTCTTTTGGTCAGGAACACAGAGCCATATGAGAAGTTCAACTTGTACCCTCCTCAGGCAAATGTTCCAGCCCTCAGCCCACTGCACCTATGTCTTCTGGGTGCTACAGTGTGTGGTGCTCACTGATACATGGAGAGACTGGAAGGACAGCAACTGCTGAGCTGGCCTAGCTGTGGAAGGTGGTCATGCTGCACTGCCCAAGAGCTTGAGAAGGGAAGGATGAAAGTCACCTTCTGCAGGGGAAGTACTTTCCCGTATTTCCCCCTCCTTTCCTTCCTTCCTTCTATCCATCCACCCATCCATCCACCCACCCCTGAAGCAATTCTGAAGCTACATGTCCAACCATGGGTAGGCATTGAAGAGAGGGGGCTAGGGGAGAGTGAATCTTATAACTCCCTTCAAGAGGCATGTCTCACTCGATACCCTGGGTACCTGTTGTCTCCATAATGAAATCCTACATGTCTGGGATGGGAGGTGAGGGTGCAGAAAAAATTGGATCCAGGAAACTCAATTGACTGAAAGAACCCTGAGCTGACAAAGTTAACGGTGAACTTACAGAATTCAGCTAGAATTGATCAAGGTTAAACCTCCTCCAACAGGCAGAGTAGAGGTTCAAGTGTTCAGTGGAGGCTACTTTAAGAACGTGGCCTTGAGCTGGGTCCTGAAGGGTGGGCAGTATTTCAGCCAGCAGAAAGTGGGAAGAGGAAATGCTGGCTAAGCAGAGTCTGAGCAGTGCCCCAAATGGACTCAGGGCATGTTGTGGCAATAATGTATTTCTCCAGTTTGGTCATCTGTCTTTGCTTCCTTTTATACTTCTCTGAGCATGCACAATAAGTTATTTCTCTATGCAAAATCCCAAGATCCTGGACCAAAGACTGGCAGATCAATATAGAAATAGTACTAGTAATGACAATAATAATCCATGCAAGGATAGCAGCAACTCTTATTTATTTGTTGAGTATCTTTTAGGTGGGGGAATGTGTGCTATATGCTAGAATGACCTTATAGGCATTAGTCCTATATTTGGACATTAGCTCAGGAAAGGTTGAGGAAATTGTTCAAAAGCAGCCAGCATGTAGAGGCAAGGCAGGCTTGCCGTGCTGAGCTATGTGACACCCAGATCTGCATTCTTTCCACCATAACAGGTGGGTTTTTGGGAATAGGCACCTTTGGAGGTTGCTGCCTAGGTAAGAAGAGAACCAGAAAGTGACTTGAAGGCTTGGTTAGACTCTTGAGTATTAAAAACAAAGCAGTTCATTTAGTACTGATTTGAAGCTGATATCTACAAATGCATATATACACAAATGTAGTTTTTTATTGGTTTAATAATTTGTCCAAGAGTTTTTTTGGACACACTTTCTTGGGATGAAATGGCGAATAGTTTTCTTCTGATACATGAATTTCAAGAAATTGGTAGGAGCTGCCTAGGAGACTGGGTTGAGGAGGCATTTGAGACTCCATCTCTTTGTGGGATTGTGCCTTAAGGTGTTAACCATGACTGTCTTGGGCTTGGGCAGAGAAGGTGGTGAAATAAATATTTTGGTATGAACTAATCCTGCTCTAGGATACCTAGGAGTTTTGAAAAGTGAAGAGGGAGAGAGAGAGAAAGAGAGCAAGAGGCTACTTAATATAATGGGATTACCAAAACCTAAGATGCGGGCTGGTCCTATATTTGCACATTGGATATCTGGGATATCTGGACTGGGAGAGGGAGGTATGGAACAATAGAACAATTCACAGTGTAGGGCCCAGGCAGTGAAAGATCCTAAATACCATGTGAAAGTCTTGGAAGATGTAAAATGAGGTCATTTCTGGCCAAGAAAGGGATCAGACTCAGAAAACCTAGGAACTGGAAGACATTTTAGAGATCTTCTAGGACAGGACAGTAAATGGTTTCCATCTAATCTGCCATCTTGGATCTATCGTAGTGGTTCCTGGAGTATCATTTTGAGGATTCTGAAGCTGTGTCTGAACGAAGACGGAAATAAGGGCCATGGTTGATTAGTGCTGTCTGTTGTGGGAATGTGAGAAGAATGGCTGGCACACAGACCACGTGGTTGCCATTGTTAGCCTTGTCCGATGCTCTCCTTTTACAGATGAGGAAACAGAGGCTGAGAGAAGTGCTAGAAACTTACCCAGGGTTACACAGCTGGGGGGCAGTGAGAATTAGGATCCTTCTCCTGCCTCATGAGCAAGTACTCTTTCTACCCAACCATGCATTCTCTCAGGACTGGCCAGAGATCACAGCCAATTCTCATGGTGTCTGATGGGGACAACACGTGATACCAGCCAAGTATTGATTCTGACCTCCACGGCCCTGCTGGCCTTCACCTGAAGCCACCTGTTTATTGAATAAACAAGCCTTTGAGCCTGTTTATTATTCCTCTCGATCTATGTCTGGATTTTTGCCCCCATTTTCTTGAGCACCTACTATGTGTTTAGAGCTTTACATGGAAGATCCTATTGAATCCTCTCAACATCCTAAAAATAAGCCACAATTACTTATGTCTTTGTGAATGAGAAAGTGGAGTTCAAGTGGCTTACCCAAGATGATGTAGCTTGTGAGTGGTTAGTGCCGGGAGTGGAACCCAAGCTCCAGCTGCTCTTTTGTCATGTAGGATTGCTTGGATTGCTATGGGTTTTTCTACAACCTTGTCTCTTTATTTGTGGAACAGCCTTGGGTGTCAAAAGTCAACTGTGTCAAAAGCTCTGTGCTTATAGCCCTGTTATTGGATATTAGCTGGCCTTTAGACCCCAGTGGGCAATGACTTCTCTTTATTATCACTCCCTTCTTCCTAAGGCAGACATTAGCTCATGGTCAGTTCTTCGCTCCCCAAACCCTGTAGTAGGAACTCTCTCTACTAAAATACTATCCTCCTTACATTTCTATTCATCTTGAGCATTTAAGAAGGTGATCAGCACACTGACAGACCTCAGGACACCTCCCTTTGTGCAGATTATTAAAAAATCTTCTATATTAGTTTTCTAGGGCTGCCATAACTGAGTACCACAAGCTGGGTGGCTTAGATAACTGAAACTTATTTTCTCACAGTTCTAGAGGCTAGAAGTCTGAAATCAAGCTGTTGGCAGTGTTGGTTCCTTCTGAGAGCTGTGAGGGAAGGATCTGTTTCAGGCCCCTCTCCTGGGCTCACACATGGCCATCTTCACGTTCATAGGATGTCGTCTCTATATCTTCACGTCATGTTCCTTTTGTGTGCATGTCTTTGTGCTCATTTTAACTTAATTACTTCTGTAAAGACCCTAGCTCCAAAATAATACTTAAATTCTGAGGTATTGGGGGCTAGGACTTCAACATATGAATTTTGGAGGAAGACATAATTCAACCCTTAACAGTATTTCTCTGCCCATGAATAACTGGACAAGGAGTGACATGCCATGCCAACATTTTATTATGACAACTTCAAACATACAGCAAAGGTGAAAGATTTTAACAGTGGGCAACCTAAACCTATTACCTAGATTACACCATTAATATTTCATTATGCTTGTTTTATTACATACTCCCTGGAGTAATGGCATCTTTGTATAAAGTAAAAAGGCACTTTTAACCGGGAGACTGCCACCGTACAACAGGCACACCACTTGGCAAGTAGAATGTAGGCACCTACGTGCAGTGCTGAATCTGTGCTGTTGCTCACATTGACCCTGAAGACAATCCTCCGAAGAAGCAGCAGAGTGATCAAGTATCTGCAAAGCCCTTGGTGTTTTGTACAAAGAAGTTTGTAATTCGGAATTGTTCGCTGAACATACTTGGAACTCACTCATGATGTGTAGCCTAGGACCTGCAGATGGTGGCACAGAGTACAAGACAATTGGTGGATGAATGATTCACTGAGTGAGAGAAGGTTGGATGGATGAATGATTGGTTGACTGAATCTACTTTTTTGTAAGCCTAATTTATGTGAATTATGACTAGTAATCAAAAAAAATGTCCAGACACCAAACACAGAGAATGCCCACAGGAAGAAATGCATTCTTCTTAGAAGCAGCTTTGACGGTACAATTATTGAAATGAGTCAGATGAAAATTATCCTGAAGCCCTTGGCTTGACAATTCAGGTTGCTTCTGCTGGGCTTCTGCTCCCCCTCAGTCTCCTGGTTTCTACTCTGCTCTGTGGGAGAAACTTCCTCAACATGCAGCTACAGAGATTAAAGCTGCATATTTAGGGGGGATTCAGCGGGTTCACCATCGACGGCCAAGTGAGAAGCCTTGAAGATCTAGCCAACAAGATGAGCAAAACAAGGTTTATAAGGACTGTGGCTTTGGTGATTGCTAATACTCCCCCAGGATAGAGCTTGAGTTAATATTAACAGGCCCAAGGTGATAGAGGTTTGTGCAATCATGGTCCCAGCCACCTCCTCCCCAGCGGGCAATCCTGTTCAGTCACCCCACCTCCTGCACTCCAGTTGCCCTCCAGTTGGTGCTCAGGGAGGAGGAGGGTGGGCTGGGACTCTCGGCAGCAGCATGTGATGATATTACTCTGAACCAAAAATGTCAGACTCGACTGTGCCACTTCAGCATACTTTTAGTGTATTCCCTTTGCCTAGGTGCTATTCCCTTTGCCTGGCTGTTCTTTTCCCAGATACCCACATGGCTCACTTTCTCACCTGCCACTGCGCTCAGGAGTATGGGGAATCTGAAGGCATCTGCGTCACTGTCTCTGGGCACAAGGGAAGGGGCAACAGATGTGCGTGGCAGGAAAGTAAACTCTGGGATCTGCTTATGCCAGATCTTGCTCCCAACAGATTCTTCTTGCTACTGCCGGAGTGAGCCACCTGAGTGCCAGTCTACCCTTGCCAAGACATCCTTTAAGAGCCTCTTCACCCCAGCAGCATTTTGAGAAGTGTATTCCATGAAATGCTAAAAATGGTTTGAGAATAAATGAGCTCCATGGTCTAATAACTTTGGGAAACCACATTCTCTTTCTACTACTTGGGTGGTAATATTTTAAAGGCTCTAAGAAGTTCTGCAGTAAAGACTTATCCAGAGTTTTCAAAACCTGTTTGATCATAAATATGAACATTTATTTCTGGGCTCATTATTCTATTCCATTGGTCTGTAAGTATGTCTTTATGCCAGTACCGTGTTGTTTTGATTACTGTTGTTTTGAAATGAAGAAATGTGAGACCTTTTTTCTTTTTCAAGACTATTTTGGCTATTCAGGGTCCCTTGAGATTCAATACAAATTTTAGAATGAGTTTTTCTATTTCTGCAAAAATCGTTGGTGGGATTGCCATAGGGATTACATTGATCTATAAATTGTTTTGAGTAGAATTGCCATCTTAACAATAGTAAGTTTTCCAATCTATGAACACAAGATGTCCTTCCATTTATTTGTGTCATCAGCAACATTTTGTAATTCTCATTGTACATGTTTTTCACTTCCTTGGTAAAAGTTTATTCCTAAATATTTTATTCTTTTTGATGGTGTTATAAATGCATTTTTTTTCTTATTTCTCTTTAGGATTGCTTATTATTAGTATACAGAAACAAAAGTGGTTTTATGTGTTGATTTTGTATCTTACAACTTTATTGAATTTATTTATTCTAACAGGTTGTGTGTGCATCTGTAATTTTCTATATATAATTATTGTTTGTGAACAGAAATAATTTTACTTATTCCTTTCTCATTTGCATGCATTTGCTTTCTTTTCTTTGTCCACGTGCTCTGATTAGAACTTCCAGTTCTAATCTATAAGAAATAGAAATAGTGAAAGCAGGAATCCTTTCCTTGTTTCTAGATCATAGAGGAAGAGCTTCAGTCTTTCACCATTGACCATGATATTAGCTGTGTGCTTTTCATATATGTCCTTTATTATGTTGACATAGTTTCTTTCCATTCCTAGTTTATTGAATGTTTTTATCATGAAAAGGTGTTGAATTTTATCAAATGCTCTTTCTGCATCAATTGAGATGATCATGTGGTTTTCCTCTCTTTGTTTTGTTAATGTGGTATATTATACAAGTATTGATTACTTTTCATGTTAAACCATTCTTGCATTCAAGAAATAAATCCCACTTGGTCATGGTGTATAATCTTTTTAATGTTGTCTTCCTAAATAAACAGAAACTCTTTAAAGAAAAACTATGTTTATTCAGTAATGGGCACTGAAATGGGAACTTGTGCATCATAGTAAACTATGTACACATTCAGGGAGATAAAGGAAGGCAAAGGTGTTTTTTAATATAATTTTTTTTTATTTTTTACAAGGAAAGGCTTGGCAAGGGCAAAGGGTCTTTATAGGAAAAATGGGGAAGATTACATAATTGTTTTGAGATAATTATCCTTGGCTACAAGGATCAATATCAAGAGTGGCATCAGTCCAAGGTTGGACAGGCAGTTACTGGCAGACATCCTCACGAAATTATGTTTTTGTGTAAGGTTTCAGTGGCCTTTGTGCAAGGTTGTAGTTTTTGAAGTCTTTTGTGATGTTTTGTTATCAGACATTTGTGTATTAGAACCCTTCTTTCATGGCCTTCCTTAGCTCCGTTTTTCAGAGTTGTTTTTTTTTTAAACAAATGACTCCATTTTGATTCTGACAAGTTTGACATTTCCCTCATTTGATCAAGAACTTTCTCTGAAAGCATCACAGATCAGTCATCCTACAGTTAAGTTTTGATTGTCCTTCGATGCCAGGATGGACCTGAGCTGGGTTGTTGGTCTGGTCCCACATTGGAAGGAGCGATTGGTGATTAGAAGTCAGTGTCAAAATAGTTTTAGCCACAGTTGAGTCACAACGGAGGTTTGGAGGGAGTGGCTCTCAGGCTAAGATTACCTGAAGCCCATTATTAAGTTCAATTTTGTCTGTTCCATAGTCTTTTGGCCATAACTCAAAGTGTGGGATGAACATTATTCTGTTAGGAGCTGTACTTCTAACAGTAATGGGTATTAAGTTTAAAAAGGGAAAATATAAAATAAAATTAATAGTAATATGATCACCTCAGTTTGTGTAATGGTTTTGAGCTATGAAGCTAGACTTAAAGGCAACCAGTTGAATAAATCAAATGACCACAGGCAAGTAGGTGAGACCTGTTGTAACTGTTTGACCTGTTTTTTTCATTTTGTGTATATGGGTCTCAACTTCTTTAGAAGAATTTATCCAGGCACAGCATGTAGTTATTAGCAATAGCACAGACAATTCCTTACTTAACCAATGGTTAATAAAGGATCTCTCAGGTCAGGTTCTGTCATGTTATCAGCAGTAGCTTTTGATTGTGAAATTTCAGTTACATTGTTACTCTGTCAAAGGAAAAAGTAGGCATAAGAATGGAAAAATTAAAAGGTGCAAGAGTCTCATTTTGATGAAGAGTCTTGTTCCATCATCTTGGAAAAACTGCCTGCAGTGTGAGTCTGTCCACTTCCTGTCCTGATTTGCAGTTTGAATGTCTCCGGTTATTGGCATCAAGCAGTTTGGTAAACTTTCTGTGTGGCTTCTGTGTGGCTTCTACATCAGGCATGAGACTTGTTTCTTAAAATTTATATCAAGTAGTTAAGCTTCAGCTTCTAGGGCTTTAGGAACAGAAAAGTTTTTGACCTTAGTTGGAGAGTTGTAGCCAAATATTGAAGAAAATTAGGGGAATTCAGGATCTGATCCAGTCTGTAGGTAGATAGCAAGAACTTGAGATATCAAGGTTATGAATGGACACTATATGATAGGAGAACTAAATAAGAAAATCAGTACCTTGAGCAAGGGGAGAATACATGGCTCTTAGAAAAAGTAAAAGCATGCGAAATTGCCTGGTTACTGGAACAATTCATACACATCAAGAAAAGCCAATAGTACAGAGTCAACATATACTAGAGGGAAATATTGCTCTCCTAGACCTGTAAGACAGACTTTTCTGAGTCAGGTCACAACAGCAGTGTTATAACTGGAGAAAAAAGTTACAGAAACTGATAAAAAAAAGTTGAAGGAGAGAGTTATCACCCTAACCAAGCAAAAATAAAAAAAACCTTCTCAAGGGGAGAAAGTGAAAGAGCTCTAGAAGGCAATGATATATAACCTACAAATCCTGTGCTGTGAGTTACAGCAAAAGTTGAACTTCTGAGATATGAATCTGAGAAACTTCAAGAGGAAAACCTCTACCTTGAAAAATAAAATGAAGACACATTTCTAAATTGAAATTAGGAAATTAAATGAAGACTGTAAAACAGAAAAAGACTGCAATTTAGAAGATGACTGACATTTTTCAGAATTAAAAATCAAAACCTTTTGAAAATTTTACTATGAGCAGATCAATACTTCAAGACCTGTTGTTCTAACATAGGGGACCAAGATCTTCATTTTGTGTGTATATGTATACACACACACATATGTATTTTATCAAAGTTCAATCTAGAAACACTTATAAGTAACTCACTTTTAATTATAGCCAACTTGATTATATACAAAATTCCTTTTATAAAGTCATCTTTCACAAACCTCTCACAAGGTTTGAGACATGCTTATGTCATGCTTAAGCCTTTAGTTTTGTCCTTCACTTCCTCTTTCTTAGATAACCAGTCTTTTTGCTTTAGTATAAAATTTTACTTTCATTCTTCCCTTATTTTGAAAAATTATTTTCTTCTCTTTATAACTTTCCTTATCAAATACATTTTTTATGCTTATAATTTTCTTCTTATTTCTCTCCTACTTAACTGGTTTCTTTCTATCTTTTTTCTATTTCCTTTCTGTATCTGTATTTCAAAACAACCTTTAAATAACCTCTGAATTATATAAAATTTTTTCTCAATAAAGAATATATTTATGCCTTTCTTATATTTTTTCCCATCAAAGCCACATCAATACCATTTTACTTATTTGGTATACTTTATGTACAGAATTATATTAATTAGAATTTGAACTTTTACTAACCTTAATTTCTAATGAAAATGTAGGAAGCAAAAAGTTTTGACCTATCACATGTCAGTATTTTATAGTTGAGAACCATTTTATAAAGTTAGAAACCTTTTTCCCCATAACATACTTTTTAAAATGAGTAATAATAGACCCAAATATTTTTAGTCTTCCTACAAAGTTTAAGAAGCCAAGAAAAAACATATTTATGTTGTAGTATTTTATTTGGAAATGACCCAAACATTTAATAAATAGCTATTACATAACTTTAAGATTTTAAGTTACCAAAAAGATTTTTGAAACTATGAAGAGTTCATTTTTAATATTTATGTCACAGTTCTCTTAATTTATTTTTAACAATTAAACCTGTATTATTTATGAAAACTTAGATATTAGACAAGGCTAGTCATTATTTTAAGCTATTTCTTTGATAACCATTTTATAGCCTGTGAATATCAGGCCTTCATCACCTAAGGAAGAACCTTAAAGTTAAAAATATGGATATTTTACTGAAAACTCAGACAGAGTTCATTAAACCAACAATATTAAATTAGACTTACTTAACAAAGAATTATATAAACAAATATCATTCTGTTTTTAGGCTGAGTTTATTATGACCTTCGTGTCAAACCTGATACCTTAAAACATCTAACAGAGATAAACATAAAACTATTTGACCAATAAACTCAGGCAAAAATGTATGTGGGCAATTCTGAAGACATTTCTGTTTTTATTTTGCCAGCAATCTTAATCAGTTTATTTATCAAAGATTTACCCAAGTCACATAAACATAAAAACATTTCAGTTAATCACTATACTTTTGATAAAATATTTAAGTGTTTAATTTTTCCCTGTAAGTCAATTAATTAATTCAAATTCTTTGATATAGTTTGGTAGAAAAATATTATGTACATACAACATAAAAGGTACATGTCTGTAATCCTGGCACTCTGGGAAGTGAAGGTGGGAGGCTTGCTTGAGGTCAGGAGTTCAGGACCAGCCTGAACAAGAGCGAGACTCCACTTCTTCCAAAAAATAGAAAAATTAGCCAGGCAAGGTGGCATG